TTCCCATTTTGACACTTTATAAATAATGGTTTACGAGCTCGCCTTTTGCACATAGCTAAAGCCATATCAATCCATATCCACAAATCGAATTTTTGTATCCAAGAGAAGTTTATACAACCACTCTCGTTACCTTAGCCATCGGTATAGCGTAGTTTGTAGCAGAAATTCGGTAAACAATTATCGTATTCCTTCCATTTTTGTATTTTACTTACTCTCCACATTCTTCTCTTGATTCTTACATTACTATATTACTAACCATTTATCAAATTATTTTGTTAGTTCCTTCTTCCCCTTTTATATATTACGCAACATAGGGACAGTTTGATTTTCGAATAATTACTTTGATTATCAGTCCTCTTTCTTCTAATTAATTAATTTTAGTGCATAATCGATAAGTCATTATATAATTATTAGGTAACGTATCTACTCAAAGAGTGTTATTTCATTATTGTAAATCATATATATATATAGTGTAGAGCCATGATAGAAAACTAATTGAAAAGAAATGTCTTCGCTCGATTCGTTCCTTTATTTAATCTGAATATACATAAAACTGAAGCAAATAATTTTGTCCAAAAACATTTTTCTCGTTGAATTCTCTTTTTATTTTTATTTGAAATAATTTTTTTTTAAATTAAAGAATTTTAATTTTATATAACATTGTTTTTAATTGTAAGCAACGATGGAACCCAAGACGCGCGTTTCGTCCTATTTGGGACTCGTCAGCTGCATGTACCTGCATCTCAGAGTTGATGTTCATTCTGGGACTCGAACCCAGTACCTTTCGCTTCAAACACCATCGCGTTATCCACTGCTAGCCACTATCCATTGTTGCTTACAATGCTTGTGAATTAAGGTTATATCGAGGCAATACGCACAGTATGCACATATGCCAATAAGAGATTGATCATTTGCAGTCCTAAACATCAATGAGAAGATTCAAACAAACAATACCAAGTGAATTGTTTTTAATGTCTATAGTTTTAAATTTTCTGAAATAACCAATTCAATAAAATGGGATTAATACAAATAAATTAATGGTATCTAACTTATTCGAACTTTATAATAAATGAATTAATAGTAACAATAATAATTGTGTTTAATAAATGTTATAAAAGTGAAAATTCATTTAGTATTGCTTGTTTGAATCTTCCCATCGATGTGTTAGGACTGCAACCGGTCAGTCTCTAATTGGCATATGTGCATACTGTGCGTATTGCCTCAATATAGAAAAAAAAAAGTTACAGAAAATTAAATCACTTCCATGTTATCAAAAGTAGATCGTTAAAATTAGTTAAAAAATGTCAATTGTTTATTTAGTAGTTGATGATGTTAACTATGATTGTTATTTCTAGCAATCTTATATAAGGTCAGAAATATATAAAATAGTCTAAAGAATTTGTCATTCAACTCTGAGATACAGGTACATCTAGTGAACGAGTCCCAAATAGGAGGGAATGTGAATCTTGGATTCCATTGCTAGCCATCATCGAACCCTGTTTATAAAGAATTAATCGGTTATTATCAAGTCCTTAAAAATGCTCGGTCGCAATGATGTTGAATCGATTTTATTAAAATTTATACTGTTTATAGACTAGGAAATCTGTAATAAAACAACCTCCCAGACTTTTATAAATATGATATACATCTGGTGTACAGTTAGATAATATTTTTATCCATAAATATATCATACTAATTTTGGGAGCTATTTAAAAGTCTTGATATTATTCAATTCGACTTAAAACTATATTCATATGGTAATTATTTCATTTATTTATCTCTGAGAGTGTAACTGTTTACCATAATCTTCAATAAACCCTAAAGTTCTTTCCGTCATACAGTCTAAATAGTAAACAATAAGCTTTTTTTAAAAAGAACCTTGAAATTTCCACTATAATGGAAATAACTGGATATTATCTGTCAGTATATTGTATACTGAAATGTTAGAAACAGATAATGCTGTTTGAACTTTTAAAAAAGGTTTCTAAACAATCTGTCAGGTAGGAATTATGAAGAACTACATAACTTGCCCTATAAACGCAACCTTGCTATTTCTAGATTGAAGCAGTGCTGTTGACAAATAGTAATTTTATATGCAACAAAATATTTTTGATTTTTTAAGATTATTATTTCCAAACATTAATTTAGGCCTCTACTTATTGTCTCTGCCTACCTGTTTTCTTCATTTACATAAAGAAACTGCATGAAATAATGTAAATCCTTCTATTATTACAACTCATTAGGAAGAACTTCTCAATAAGACTGAACAAGAGACGGTTAGTACGAAAATACTGTTTATTAACTTAACCAAGTGACTTGATTAACCTCACACAAACAGTAAATTCCTACATTTAGATGAGGTCCTTAAAATATAGTCAAAAGGTGTAACATTTTTAGGTATAACTAGACAAGAGTGTATTCAACCACTTTGAAATACCTCCCTGTAAATAAATTCACAATTTATATAGCTTTTCTTTTTTCTCTTCTTTTTTTAATTAAATTTTAAATTCATCCACCAACATCAGACTGGAAAGAATGAACTTTTAATTTTAGTAAACGAAATGTTTAATGTCTTTTATCCCAGATAATCTGTCATCATCTTTAAGTTCACTACAGTTATTTTAATTTACCAAAATTTCTAGGATAAGTAAGCCCAATCAAATGACAAAAATATTTCTAGTTTATAGAGCAGTACGGTTGATTTAGTGATTAACTGATTGTAGCAAAGATTATAAGGAATCTGGGAGTGTGAACCAAACATTTGAAGTCAAATTTATCAAGTCAAAATGAAATAAAAAGTAATTCATATTATTCATTTCTGTTAACAAACCGGTTGAAGGCTAACTACTGAAATGTGATGAATATAAGAGTCAAATTTCAGAATCTTGAATGATTTTGCTTCTTTGGATATCAACAGGAAAGCATTAGTAATGCTTACTAATAATTTCGAATGCGTTCAATACTTTCACCTAATTTTCTTTGTTCAATCAAAATTTGGTTATCGGTTTGACTCTAAATAATTAGTTTATGGTATTTGAGCTATAAAACGTTTGGATTTTCACATTTCTCTATGTTCAATATACTTATCTTTGCACACTATCGGGCATAGTGTTTCATATAGTGGAACTAGCATCACTACAGACAGCTTATTATCTAGTTCTGCCTTCAGTTTTTGGTTAACCTTCTTAGTAAACTAATCGCAGTTTAAAATAATTACGTTTGAAATATTTTTCTGAAGAAAACCAATTTATCATTTTTACGTTACTCACTTTTCCGACTTACTGTAATAAATCTTACTTCTATAACAGAGTAGTTATCATGTTTGTTTACACAAAACAAAATCGAGAAACATTTGTAGCTCAAATAATTCACTTTGATCTTTTCATCTACATGTGTCAAAGCAAGAAGTAAAAAATACCAGCCAAATTATATCAAACTACTTTTACCAGCAATAATACCAGTGATCCTATCTGTTCAGGTATCTCGTCACTGAATACAATTACCGTTTAATTTAAATTTTATAATTCATGGAAAACATATTTACATATAATTTTTATTTCTTGTTAGATCTAATAATCTACCGAACTACTATGATTGTGTGTGTGTTTAAGCCTACTAACTGCCATTTCAAATCATTCATTTATTCGCCTTAATTTTCTGTAAATTTGGTACTGCCAAACGTCTTTACTCTGGTACATTGTAGTTAAATAATTCCAAATGAATAGCATACTACACTTCATTATTTTTAAACAGTTTGACTATGCTACTGAAATTTAAGTAATTCACAGTAATCAAGTAATTTCGCTGAGAATATCTTGCACCAACAAACCAAATGACAAGATATGATGTTGCAAGTTTTAATATATCTAACAATAATCTTTAAGTATCAGGTCTTTCATTGGATAATTTCACTGAATATTTGCAAAAACGAATTTGCATGCTCTAACAAATTAATTAGTGGTAACCAATGCTATCTCGTCTAGTTCTGAATGCTAAGTTAATCCTACCACTCAAATTGCTATTTGGCTAAATGACTCTAATTGACGTCAAGGCTCATCTAATTCTAGGTGACTGTTACCAAGAAGCTTGAAATTTCGGTTTTCAAATGATCTGTACTCTCTGTCAAAACCAAATAACAATCTTGAGAGATTCTAACATCTTTCAACCAGTATCAGAGCCTAAGATGCAACCAATTCTTTAGTATCAATGCTGATATTTCGTTAGAGCCCGAATTGCCACATATCATGAAACTTTTAAAATAAGTAAAGTCGTCACCACTCTCATTTAACTGGGCATTGATATACACCAGTCTTGATGAAACAATTCGAATTTAGGGACAAAATCTATCAGAGATGGTAATTAGTTCAATTTTATTTGTCGTAAATGTGAATAAAATCAGGATCTGAAAGTTCTTTTTAAAGGACACAATCAAAACCATGAAGTAAGCGGCAACGAAGGTTTTCAAACGGTTATGATATACTCAGTGGTTTGGACATTCAAATCGACTGAGTTACAGCTTTCAATCACGATTCCTAAACCATTATGTGTTTATTTAGGCGTCTAATACTCAAAATTGCTTGCAGTTATCAAGATAAATTTGATCGTTGGTACGCGCATATTAAACTCTTTTCTTGCGCCCACCTAATAAAATCACTCCATATAACGAGTTGAATTATAGAGTCGGCAATAATAATAACACTTCCCAGTTTGAATGGTAATTTCAAATATGAACTTTTTACTGGAGATTTCTCGAAGAACCTTCGTTAAAGAAAGTGAAAAAAAATTACATGCAACTAATCCTTTTTAGCTTTAATAACTTATTATTTATTATCAACATACGAAAAGCTTATGCAATTATCATATTAATTTTAATGGATAGGGTACAAATACATCATTCTGACATGTCTTGACTGAAAGCAACAAAACTAGAATCTTGCTGATACCCTAGCAATAACAAAAAGATGATCGTCAGCCGAAAGTGCAAAACAGGATCTCGAAGACTAGCCATTTGATTTCTTTTGAACTTGTAACTGATTTTGTGAAACAGTCTTGAAAACATCAATCGGAATCCAATATGTTGACTTATCTTCTTCTTGGATGTATGGTGATCGAATCACAGAGCTTTTCAACTTAACATCACAGTCTTCACCTGATTTCAAAGTCCCATTCTCTTCCATCTTTAGACTGCCATTTATGCGTCTTCTTCTTGAAAGTTTGTAAATATCGTTCAACAAATTTATACTAATGTTTCTAACCTCCTCATTGTCTACAAACCATTTCGGTGGTATTGATGGGAATTTTTCGAGTATCTTCACTGCCTAAAATGTACTTATTAAGATGAGGAAGTCAATTAATCCATACCTCCTTAATTTTATCAACTTCGTACGTCTCCTTCAGAATGCTTATAATAATATCACTATTCATCTTGATAAGCAAAGTAAGTCACTGGTTAGTTCACTACGACGTAACTCGTATCCTTATGACAAAATAACCCGATGGATTGTGCAAAACTTTCCAATCAAAAACGTATTCACACGAAAACTAATCTGGTAAGTACAGGATGTAAAATAGTAGCAGTAATTTGAATTATTTCCAGTAATTTTCCCTGTCTTCATAAAATGACTCCTCTGGTGTTTTTCATGATACATCTAATGGTCCTAAACGATAGATGAAAATCAAATAACCTGTTTACTTTTCATACCTTTTCAGAACTATTTTATCTGAAATATAAAGTGATATGAAATAAACAGGTCATATTTAAAATTTGACTGGAGTGTTTCAGACATGATAACTGATCTTCATAGTATTTAAGATACGTCAGAGTTCTCCTGATGATTTAAAACAAGGTATCCCATCATCCTACCATCAACTATTGATTTCACATGCTCACCAGATATGCTACATAGTTGAAACACCTACTGCATAATCTAAAATAAACCTACAGGTATAAAAGTTTATTTACTTAGTAAAAGTTTTCTGCAATCAACAATAGGTGCACGACTAAAATGTATAAACATTTTTATCCGTGCAAACTGTCTGATCTTCAGCTTTTGTTCTGGATTAAGTTTATATCTTGTCAGTTATTCCAAACACAGCAATGATAGAATACTAACTGAAATATCGGTTCAAGAGTTAAACTTTTCTGACCAATGCAAATATTTTAGGTGATACGTAAACACATTAACACAAAATTCAACCTGAACGTTGTTTAATCATCAATTTTCTGCTTTTGGTAATAGTTTTGGTAATTGCTTTGCTAACGAAAAGCACAGAGCGGGATACGCGCTAATATAGAACCCATGTTTTAAATCTCCTGGTTGGTTCAACTCTCTCAGGATAACAGTCCAACCATTTGTCTTTAATTTAGGCGTGTCTTACCAACGTCATTCTCATTCACATCAAATCATGTGAAGCACAAGACGGCTAGGTAAAAGCCCCTTAATAAAATACTAATTCAATAAACTACTTTGAAAATGCATTGTTTCAGCAACAAATTCATGCTAAACGCAATTATGATGGCACATTCATAGAAATAATATGAGGGCAATATCCAACAAATTATAGAAACAACTAATCCTGCAAGCATCATTGTAAAAGTTTCGAAAAGCATTATTAACAAACCGCTCGTTGTTCAGTAATGAATACCACGGCTTGAGAAACAGATTTTTTGTACGCAACATAATTTTAACTAGCAAGCAAATCTGAGTTAAGATTTTAAACAATAAGAAACTAGTACTTGTAATTTGCGTTGACTCCGATAAATCGTTCGAAATTGTCTTACACTCTAGGTCTTTTTATAAATGCGAAAAGTTCTCAATCACTGAAACTTTTCAAGGACTTCACACTACACAACACATGGTTAAGTATGATTAGGGGCGAAGATACTTATTCCTAAAATAAGAAAACTTCCGGGATAAATGACAAACTTGAGATCTAAGGAAGGACAAAGAGTGAATGCATCTGGGCCAGTGCATACAATTTGGAGCCATGTCACACAAATCCTCTAATCAATGGTCATAGTGACTATATGACGAAGTATAGACCTTTAAAAATGGTCTTTGTACCTTCCTTAACTTGTCCAAGACATGCTTAATACCTAGTAACGTGAATTATTGTGTCTCTTAGACAAAGAACTTGAGAATAGCAACAGCTGCAAAATATACAGAATGTTCTCTCAAGCTCATAATGACGTGGATGTTGAGTTATTAATGACATGAAGGCCGCGGCTCACGTTCTTTTGGTTTAGGCAAAAGATTTTAGAAGTTTCTTCATCACTCGTTTTTGTATAGGCGGTAAGCCCTTACTTTAAAGAAAATTTATTTCTCGTGAAAAGGGTTTGAACTGAAACCGAAACTGAAAAGGGTTTGAAGAATTGACATGATCATTAAGATCACTAATTAAACGTTAAATCCTTTGACACTTTCCTATTGAAGATACCTCTTGATATTAATCGGCAACTCAATCAGATTTCTATGTTAAGAAACACAGGTGAGTTCAAAAATCAGTGACGAACCGTATCTCGGTGGATTATATGATGTCCTACCGAAACCCAGTGATATGCAAACAAAATTTCAGCATCATAAATATACAACCCAAAACAACCCATCAACCACTGGTAATGATCCAAATATGTGGTTGGACAAATTATTGTATAATCAATAATTTTTCCATCACAAATAGTCTGTGTACCAAATCTCCCTATTTTAGAGAACATTTTATCCGTCTTGGGTAGATTTTGGGGAAGCCGCAACGGAAAACTTCGAATAAACTTCGAGGAAATGGCACAAAAGACCCAAAATTTCCCCATGTCCGTTGAAAATCTCCAAAAACCCCAAATTTACCCAAAAAGGGAGACTTTATAGTTTACCTCCACCATCATTGTACCTTTACCACCTTATCAACTGACTTTTCTGTATCTTGGAGTTATTAAAATATTAGCAATCAAGAAGCAGCCTGTCATACTCTCTCACCACCCAGTATCCCTACTTCGCAGAAAAGTTATCAATTTTGGGAAAGTATGACCTAAAACCCGAAAATCTCTGAACTGAGGTTTTCCTATAAAATATTCTCACAGTTTCGGAAAAATCATATAGAGTTCATCGATGACTACCCGGAATTTTCATTGTCTACAGTCAAATGGTTCAAATGGTTCAACCAGTCTTACTGATAAATGCCCAAAGAACAAAATCAAACACAACGTTGTCATGACAACAGCATAAACTTCCAATATCCAATATATCTAACATCTTTGTTACGTATTAGTATAAACCAGTTTATTTCTTCTAGCTATCTTTGTTTTCATCTCTTTACGGCTCTGAGTATTAGGCTACGTCTAATGGGTTGTAGTCCAGTCACTCAACTGCTGTAATTCTAATCGATGTGGTCGTTTGTTGTAGATTTCTATATCTTGTAGTTGAGTGAGTGCGTTTGTTACAGGGCAGTAGGGTTTTTAAACACTAGCAGCTATTACATAACCAGGCTGGAGGTTGGTCAGTTGCAACGTGAAAGTAATGAAGGGATAATGCAAATGCTAAAAGATTATCATTTTGTAGCTGTAAATAATTCCCCGAAATCAATAGCTCATTGAGTATTCGACATTGGATGCTGACCATGTTGTTTAAGTGGACTTGTTTAACTGAAGGATTTCGGTCATGCATCCGTACCAGATCACGTTGCAACTCGGCGTGGGACACAGCTCCTACGTTTTCATAGTCAGCTAATAACGAACGCCTCTCGATATCTTAGTAACGTATCAAATATATCTTTCCTACCTCTTATCGTCTGACTTCTGATTTCTGTTTGGCCAAAAGGGTTTCGATTATAGAATGTACTACTGGTTGCTAGTTGTAAAACTAGAATATCCGTCGTATCTTCAGTGGTGAGCCTTACGTGATCTGGTACACCAAGCCAATAAACTGTGAGTCCGTTCCTTTTTGGAATATTATTATTCATTGTTATTCTTTATTTGGATTTTATATATTGTGATATACTTTTTTTCGCGAGTTTTTTCCCGGATATATTTTAATTAGACATTTTTCGTTCTCCATATTACTATGACGGAATACTCACCTAAGGTTTTTAAGTTAAAGTCTATTCCCCCTCTTTCGATTCAGTTAACGCCATTTAGGCCAGACAATATCGAGTCCTGGTTCTGCTAAGCAGAAGCTGATTTTTGCATGCACGGAATCACGGACTCGCGCACACGATTCCTCGCCGTAGTTAAGGCATTATCCCGAAAATTTAACAAGTACGTAACACCTAGTATGTTTACTAGTGATGTTCCGGAACCGTATGAAACTCTCAAACGGTCGATTTTAAAACGCGGAGACCTAACTGATCGACAACGGTTAGACCAACTCCTTAACAATGTTGACCTGCAATATGGTTCTGCGACAGACATGTTGATAAGAATGAGAGAGGTTATCGGTCAACAAAATTTCGATGATGGCCTATTCAGACAACTTTTCTTGTCTAAACTTCCTCAACAGGTGCAGGCAGTGCTCGTCTCGTTTCAAAACAACGCCATAGACGAGCTGGCTGCATCTGCCGACCGAATCTTAGAAATCATTAAATCTTCTAAGGCCGAGGTTTTTTCCGTCAAGGAAAAACCTCAATCGACCTCGACTGACATAGCCGAACCATGTCACACGCTTACACGATATCTTAGAGTTCGTAATGACCGTAGTCGGTCAAAAACCCCGCGTAGAAGTGTTTCACGTAGGCGATTTGTCTCTCCACCACGAGAGACAGATAATCTCGACCGGTGCTGGTATCATAACCAGTACGGTGAGTCTTCCAGAAATTGCAGGAAACCCTGCAATTATCCGACCTCAAAATCGACTGACACGAATAAGATTTCGGGAAACTTCCCAGCCGGCACGCGTTAACGGCAACCGTAGCCGGCGAACACAGCCGCCTCTTATATTTCACGGATGTGACCACGAAAGTTCGCTACCTCGTCGACACTGGCTCAGAAGTTAGCGTTCTTCCAGCAAATCCCGACGACAGACTTCAAGAGTCGGTTTTAAGTTTACAGGCGGTAAACGGAAAGCCGATCGCTACTTACGGTAAAAGGTACGTCTACCTTAACGTGGGTTTACGCAAACCCATACGCTGGATTTTCGTGGTTGCAGATGTCTCTATGCCAATCATTAGTATAGACCTGTTACAACACCACAATCTACTCATCGACACACGCTCACGAAGGTTAATAGACGGAAACACTAAGTTATCTGTTTGCGTAACTCCTTGTTCTGGTTGCAGGTTATCCCCAGTCACGATTATGCACACCATAGGCCCCTTGTATCAATCATTACTGGACAAATACTCAGGGATATACCAACCGCAATCGAAATTGCCATGTGTAACCAGCAATGTTACACATCACATCTCGACTACAGGACCACCTGTATTCTCGAAAGCCC